ATTTTCATCAAGTTCCTCAAGGGCAATTTCAGTTAACGTTTGTGTTTAAAATACCTTTCCGCCATTTTGTTTGTTTTGGGAAAATCATTAATTGTACTGCAGTACAATTAATGAAATAATTGTACTCCTCTGAACCAATCAGCATCCAGTAATTTTGTCATGCTAATAATAATATACACTTAATGTCTGCACCCGAGGGAAATAGTTTTGTTTTCACGAGAATCTCAATGTTTCCCGAGACGAAGTCGAGGGAAACATTGAGATTCGAGGAAAAACAAAACTAACTATTTCCCGAGGGAAAAGACGTTAAGTGTTTTGTTATATAGCGACGAAACAAATATCAACATTGAACAACATTCATACAACAATATTTGTATTTCATGACAAAAACTCTATAGCGTAAACGAGTTTAAAATTTAAACTAGAAAATACATGCATGCAGAAACCCTCGCCTTGCTGACAAACCATTTTATTTTCCGAACGTGAGGTATTTAAAGTAGTTGTCATGGTAACACGTTAATTTTTAAGAATATTTTTACAAATGAAAAATCCCCTATAAATATCACTTTTAATCAGGGGCGCCGGAGCCACGGGGGCAGCGGGGGCAACTGCCCCCGTTGCCCAAACAGTGCGTGGGCAGCACGGGGGCAACACGTTGCCCTATTTTTAAGCAAAGTTTAAGCAATCTTTGCATAAATTTTAACCAGTTGTAGTAAAATTGATGCTAAATCAGGCAATATACATCCATACTCAATTTAAACCAGCCAATGGCTGTTTGGACGATCGTATCAAACTTAGTGTTAATAAAAAGTCTACTCATATTTCGCGTGTCATATTTCCAAATTTTGCAATACAAATTTGCCGCAAAATTTGATGTTTTTTCGTCTCTGCCTTCCTTTGTGCACTAATGTATCAGTCAAATCCAAGCGTGCCCATCCCCCCCCCGGGAAAACCCCCAGGCTTTTGACAATTTTTGAAATTATGCAACAAATTCCCGGGGGCGGGAATAAAAAACACGTGGAAATGCCCGGCAGTAGGGCAAAAAATCAGTAGCAAATCCCCCACCCCGGGGACAGCTGGACTGTTTCGCTAAGAAGAGAAGATTATCCAATTACCTGAAAATATAAAAGAGAATACTTTCTTCGATCGGCCAAGTATATCGCCCAAGTATTTCGCCTGCGTTGCAGGCTACCAAGCATTGTGTGTCATGCTCTAGCGCGTTTTCGTCATGCTCTAGCGCATTTATTTTTAAAGTTTGGCGTGGTTCGAATTTTAGCGTTTTATATTGGACAACTTGACTGGTTTTATACATCATGGTATTTTGGGCACGTATAAAGTAAACAAAAGAATTTCAAATGCCCCGCCCCGGGCTAAGGTTTGAGTTCAAATGCCCAAACTCCGGGACGTGCTTTATAGGAAAATGCCCCGTTGTAGCCCGGGGGGGGGGGAATGGGCACGCTTGGATTTGACTGGTGCATAAGTAAGCAAGTGAGTTTGTGGATTTTTTTTTATTTATGTACTCGTTTGTACAGTAGTCTTTATTAATTGAGGTTTTGGGAAATGCTGTTTATTTATGAGTACCTTTCTGATTTATATAACCGTGCAGTTTCTTGATTTACAAATTGTCAACAGAGTTCAAGGGACAAGAAGGTCAAACGTATGCGTCTTAGTTAGCCATTATTGTCAATAACATCCTTTTGGAGAGTGGCATACGGGGTGTCACGCTTAGCAGACGCTTAGTTCAAGCATTCAAGACAAAGATTATTTCTCTTCACGCTGCTTTCAAACGTGCTAAAGGTGGAAACCCAGTCAAATGGCTTTTGAATACATGGCAGAACTCGTCATGCAGTGTAACTACATACTATAATGAACTTGAAGCGGATAAGCTGGATTTGTTAAGATTATTATCCTTTGCGGACTTTTTGGAGCATTTGGACGAAGGCCTAGGAGTGTAGTCACTGTACTCTTCGGCAAAACGTATAAGTTCGCTAGGTCGATTTTGCGCCATCTTGTTTACTTATATTAAGTGTCATTTGCGCGTCATTCATTATGCACGGGGCAACGGACACAAGTTGACTCAAATGTTCGTCGTAGTATTACGAAAGTTTGAAATGACCTGATTTTAAATATTGTTATCATCATTGTCATCAACGAATAAAATTGTTCAAAATTAATGTCGAAGTTTGCAGACCCATAACAGTCACAAGTAATCGAGTATCCATACAGTAAAGTTTTAACAAATATTGCCGCCCAGAAAAAATGATGGCTTAGAAGCAATTGCCCTTTTGAAGTGGCTGCCCCCGCCGCTTCATATTGCTTCCGGCGCCCCTGCTTTTAATTACAGAATTATCAATTTTCCAAACATATATATGTTAGGTATGTTATTATTATACGTAATATAAGCTTCAATTTATAAGGTAAAATTCAACCACAAACGCTTCGCAAAACGTTTTAAAGTGTTCTTTTAATATAGAACTAAACTGCCTTTATCGATAAACTTTGAGTTCGAAATAAAATGATTCCAAATTCTCCCATGCAAATAACTTTGCTTAGTATAATAAAAAGTGTAATCAATAAAGAAACACTGAAATAATACGCTGTCTTGTTTCATATTTATACGCAACGATCGGTTTTTAAAGTAATTACAGTCGAGATTACAGTATATTAAAAGCAAACAATGCATCAATATTTAAAACAAACTTACCTTCGTTAACGTCGGCACCTTTACTCCCTTCTTTTAGCAATTCTCTTGCCTTTATTTCATCAAAAATCTTTTGAAATTTACAAAATCTTGCAAAAATGAAATATATTTGCAAGAAATCATCAAATCAATTTCGCTGTCGTCAATCGTCATGCAGCCGTTATAATGCCAATTTTAAACTGGACCAATCAGTGTTGGCTATTCATAACAGTCCGCTATATTATGAGATCAGTGTGGATGACCACCCACCGAAACACGCACAGTGACCCACGCCCGCGATAACTGATGAACTTTAGACTTCGCTAATGGTTTCGTTTCCCCGGGTGTAAATAGCCGGGGGGAATTAGTACCCTCGCACGGCGCTTCTCGCCGTTGCCTCGGGGAAAAGCTACTTAAATGGTTTCAGCAGCATATCCTGTTGCCTGTTATGTATTTTTTCTTCTCTTTTACATTCTTTATTTTAACACAAAGCCACCAAAACAGTAGTTTAAATACTATAAATTTGTGCCGCCATTTTGTTTATTTATGTACGTAGCCGGTCGGGGCGGGCAACAATTTTTCACTTATTGCCCGGGCGGGATACATTGCATTTATCTAAAGCCACGTGACTACAAATCAGCCAATCACGTTTGGTGTTCACACTGGCTATATAACAAATATATTTATTTACTATTTGTGTGTATACTATAGACAAGTCCGCCTCGACTAGCTTTGTAGGTCTTAGCGGCCTTGTCTCATTAGTGGTTGTATTTATATTATTATCATTTGAATAAATTGAAAATTGAAAGTTATCATTTTTCTGCAGATCTTTCTTTTGTTTGACTGAATTCCAATAAAATGTTTGAATATTTTTATATATGGCATTATTATGTTTTCATTGGCGTTTGTGTGGGTGTGTGTGCGTGCATGCAAGTATGTAACTTAAACAATATCAAACGTATTAATAAACAATTGTGGGACGAATGGACATTTCCTGCAAGGACAAATTAATTAGATTTTGGATGGCACTACAAAGAGTTTCTGTTGCCCTGCAACCATGCATGTTATGAAAGTCACGAAATTATTTATCTATAGGAAAGTAAAGCTATTCCTAAAATTACGTGCTTTGATGTAGGTCAACCATGGAGACATGGAGTTTTCTAATCCAAAACGGTCTCAACAAATCCGAAAATAGTGTCCAGGAAACATTCTGAAATTCGCAAATAGTGGTCATCTAATAACCATATTATGTAATATCCATCCGTATTACTTCATTTCCGAAGTATATGACGGGAAGTTTAAATATTACAGAACTCCGCGAGTATTTGCAGTAGAAATACGAAAATAACACCACAAAAATCGGCTTGAAAAGTTCTATGAAATCGAACAATGTAAAATAGCCATAAATAATAAACTAAGCCATACTCGAACAACGTAAACTAACCATACCATACTATATACAATATACTCCAAGAATGTAAACAATGCATCACTAAGCCATAATTTCGCCGAATATAACTTCCGCCCCTTTCAACGTATCTTCTTGTATTAGTCTTGTTCGAAACACAATCCAACACACTATTTAGAGTGTTGTTTTCAAGCTTGTATCTGCAGAATTGCATCTTCTATTACGGTTTTTCAAAATATCTAAATTTTACGCGAGTGCTTTGACCGGAAGATCAAGTTGAAATATCCGAAACAATGCGATGTTTACATCCCATCACTCAGGAAAGGTCGGAAATTGATTCTAAAGGTCAACGTACCCCTGTGGTGTGAATTTCACGTGCATGGGGCTACGGGTGCTCCTTATTGGCCAATTTTAGCGTGTTGCACGCGCGTGCAAGTAAAAACCCGATATTTTGAAAAATTCAAAATAAATATTTCTGCTTGTCGTATTCAAACGAAACTTTCTACATAAAAGCGCTTGAATACAAGGATTATTTCACTGCTATTGACTTGGGCTAATGCTGAAGAGTTTAGAAGATATTCAAGTTTTTCTCGATATGAAACACAAAATGTTTGGCCAAGAGGTGAGTAAATATACGATTGTTTTGGTTGTGTGTAATGTTATGACGGCATTTGACCCCCCGTTCGAAAGGTTATTTTATGAGGATTTCAACTGTGGTTTTCGTTTTAAAGGGGGGCAAATACTTGCAGAGATATTTTAATTTTTCTCCTCTCCAAAGTCGGAATATGAAATATGACCGGATGACAATGAGATTATTGAATCAGCATGTCGTGCATGTCTGCATATATTAAATATACAATATAGTTTGCAACGTGTATCTTGCCTAAATAAGGCCGTAATACTGTATTAACGATGGCGTTGGTATCTTGCTTCCTTCCACGATCTCGGTATTTTCAACGACTCCTCAGGTCACCTTGGTCCTTGGCAATAATCGCACGTAGTTCGTCCACCGTCGTGAAGACGTCTGGCGACAGCAAAGTGTTGCCATTCTCAAATATTCCTGGCCCGAAAGGAACCATTCAAAATGTTTTGGAATACGTGTTAAACAAGGGCTCGCGTTTGGATGTCGTAAAGAAACGCTTCGAAATATTTGGCCCAATATACATTGAGCAAGTATTGGGCACGCAATTTGTAAATATTTCCGATGCAGATGCTGTAGCGAAAGTTTTACATACCGAGAAAAAATTTCAGATGCGGCCCGGTTTCGACTCCTTGAACGAGATTCTGGATAGAAACAAAGGTCTTATGTTGCTCTCAAACGACTATGACAAATGGTATCCAGAAAGATCGCTGCTATCACCAAAATTGTTACGTCCAAAGGACATCAATGAAAAATTTCCTATGTTAAATACTGTAGCAAATGACTTCGTAAAACAACTGAACCTTCGTACTACGCAGTGTGATGGGAAGGTAGAAAACATTGAAGAGGAGGTGACATTTTTTTCTGTAGAAGCACTTGCTTCGTACATGTTCGAACAGCGTCTTGGTTTCTACAATCACCCGCCAGATCTCACAGTAGTCGCGTTTGTGGATGCAGCCACAAAGGTAGCCAACAGCATTGGAGAGCTCGCTATCAATTCTCCTTTTGATAAGTACATCAAGACCCCGGCATATTATCGAGCGGAAAAAAATGTGACTACATTTTGTGCCATTGGTATGAGCGTTTACGATAAGATATTGGCAACAAATCAAGAACAAGAGAAAGATAGCAGTCAGAAAGAATCCTTGTTTGATTATGCATCAAAGAATATGGCGAAGATCAGTGGATTGTTAGCAGGTGCCATTGATACAACTAGTGCAACGTCTATTTGGCTTCTTTACCTACTGTCGCAACATCCAGACATACAGGATAAACTTTATCAGCAGCTAATAACTGCCGTTGGCCCAGATGGGGAAGTATCAGCAAGCAATTTGCCATCACTTCTCAAAGCAGCACTGAAGGAGTCGCAACGCATGTACCCTGTCGCTGGGTATGTGGTTCCTCGGGTATTTGATAGAGATCTTGATGTCCTCGGCTACCATATTCCATCTGGTGTTAATATTATAATGCACGAATACGTGATGTCGCTCGATAAGCGGTATTATGGGGAAAACGCGAAAGAATTTGTGCCAGAGCGATGGCTGCGTGATGAAACAGGAAAGAGGCAAGAGCTTAACGCCTTTGTTTCCCTACCATTTGGTTATGGAACAAGAATGTGTATCGGTCGGAGAATAGCCGAAGCAATGATCTACATGTTGATAAGCAAGATCTTACTTAGTTACCGTTTGGAGTACGCTGGCGAAAATGAGGTGTGTTGTTGTCCAAAGGATGCATTAATTAAACCAGACCGCCCCGTCC